GCGTGCAGACTGAACGGGTTTAGGCACAGGAGCACTAATCCTGATCAGTGCTTGCCTGCTGTGTGCTCGCTCCGATTTCCTTCAGGTTCTCTAGAGCACTTGTTTTTTGTTTTCTGTTTGTTTGTTTTATGTTCCCTCAAACTTGTCAGCCACGTACAGACATCAGTTTACATAAATTGACTTTCTGTTTCTATCAAATATGGCTTCTCTTTCCCAGCTTTCAGTCTCTTGCATAGGGGACTGTAGCCTTTATTTATTTATTTTCGTTTTACACTTCTGTGTTCATTTGCTGCTGTGATTAGAAAATGGGTCATCCTTGGATGAACTCTTACGAGCTGCCTCTTCTAGAGAGCTTGCTTGCCTGGGAAATTCTTGCAGTGGGAGCCATCTTAAAATCTTCCTGACAGCTACCAGTGACCTTATTTCATAATTACTTGTGTTTCTGTCTAGCTCTTCCAAAGTGTTGCTTCTCCTGTTTGAAAAAGCTTTTAAAACACGTTATGATTTAAGATTTCAAGTCTCTGGCTTCTTTCCAAATAAAACTTTGATATATTAACAGTTAAAACTGAGAAGCTTGGTTCCATGGTCTGTCTGGCATTTGCACTCGTAAGTGGGGCAGACATGCCTGGCAGTCAGCCCAGGGGCTTCAGCCTCCAGGAGCCCCCCCCGAGTGGGTTGTGTAGCTAATAGCTATGCTGGCTGTACAGCCCCTCTAACAGGAGAGGATTCTTCTTCCTTCTCTTCCTCCTTTCACAGTTAAATACGTATACTGATAAAGTCTTGCCTCTTTCTCTCTCTTTTTATAGATACACTTTTCCTTTCTGTGTTAGTATAAGGATTTCTCTGAAATCGGATATGAAATAAAAAAGCAAAATGATAGCTATTCTCTTATTGTAAACATCATATGGTTTATTGTTTGTGTGAATTTTGACTGTGCCTTGTGGTTGTGACTCTCAAACAAAATTTCTTTTCCCAAGATCTGTCAGATTTATTAGAGGGTTTGTAATTTATTTCTTAGGGGTTCCTGTAATCCTGTTCTTTCTCCAGTCCTGGCTTTTATGGCATGTTTCTTTCTAGTCATGGGTATGGTAGTAAATGTGTGGCTACTGGGGCACTTCCCTGTCTTTCTGATCTTGTTGAGGTTGTATCCACTATGTCCCCCAGTGTGTGTGACAGAGTTACATCATCACTAGCAGAGTGCAGTGGTTTGCCACTGTAAAGCATCTTCTTAAGGCTGTTTCATTCACTAGTGTGAATGAAAAAGTTGCTTATACTTGGGGGCTTCTGATCACTTTGCTGCCTTTTGTTTCAGTTGCCATAATGTCAAGAAAATGGTTTTCTAAATGGCTGAGAGATGTAGCCATTCCCTAATGCAGAATAGTTTTGGGAAGGTCTGTATGCCCTCGGGGTTGTTGTACTGTTGCATAGTTGTGACGCTCTGCTTTGGGACCATGCAGACGACTATTAGAAGTTGGAATTATTTCACGATGCTGCAGTGCTTGCAAGCTGTGACTGGGAATGCTTGATCTTAGCTTTTCATGTGCTGCATTTGCATACTGTGGAATCCTGTATGGAAGCTGAGCTGCTGCTTTTAATCTTTAAATGGTTTGGGTCCTGGTCTTTAGATGAACGGGGGCAAGGATGTAGGGGCTATTGATAGGCAGAGTGTTCTCTGATGAGTTGCTGATGTAAGGACGCTTCCTGTGACAATCTGCACTTTCTAGGCTTTTCCACTGCCTACACCACCTACTACCTTGCTTTTTTTTGTTTCAGGTTGAGTGGGTTGAAGGCAGTGTGGTTGTGAGCAGTTGCTGTCTGTGTTCCTGCAGCGATTTGTAATTTAAGAGTACAGGAAGAATGCCCCTAGATGTATTTTATAAAACTGGAAGAAATAAATGATTGCCACCACAGGTGAGAAAAGGTCACCAAAGGATTATTACATGACTCACAAGCCATTGGGTGCTTCTGAGGGCAGTATGAGTTAAGTCTAAAGAGAGTTAATGCTGAATTTTGACACAAAGTAAGAGGAACAATAGATTAAGTCTGGACTGTCATGTTATTTTCTACAAGCTCCAGGTCCTGCACACTAACAAAGGGGAAGTAATCCCTATTAAGAGGCTAGTAAGAATTATGATATATAATTGTAGATACCCAAGAGTACTTCAGAGACTGATCATAAACCGATGGTGATTCTTAATTTCCTGACCTGTTACAGCCAGCTTTGTGGAGTCATTTGTGACTCTTTAAAGGCTCCTGTAAGGAATGGGGGTTTGTGACTAATTTTTAAAGATGTTCCTTTTACAAACTGGATGGCTTTTTTGCCCTTTTTGAAGAAACTAAAGGGGAGGTCAAGTGTCGAGATTTGGGTTGTGTTGTTCATACAGTTTGTGTTTGCCTGTAAACAGATGATACTGTCTCTCTGTTGCTGGGAGGTCAAATACGTTACTGTAACAGACAACATGAAGCAAGGTAACCAAAACCAGAATTAAGAGGAAGAGTCATTCAAATTGAAGTAGTTTCAGTCCTTTGATTTGGAAACATCTGAAGATGGTATGTGAGGTTTCAAAACTTTCAGATTTAGAGTTTTATTGAACTGCTGAGTTCATTCATTGTGCTAGAATTATGAAGATCTGCTCACATGTTTTTATTAACCTCTAGAATAGTTGCTGAATAGTGTCTCTTTCTAGGTATGCTATTAAATGTTAAGAACTAGATTGGAAATCGGGCAATTTTATGGTCCTAAAAGTAGGTAACATACTTTAAAATTTACTTAAATAGATGCTGTGGAGCAGCCTTCACCCATTCTTTCTTTAAGTTCTTTTCCATGCATTCCGGAAGTGTGTAAACTTCAAGAATTTGATTTTTAATTGCCCAATTTTGCAGTTTTCAGGGGATTCGGACATCAGCAGTATTTAGGAAAAATATAGCCTTAATGTGGTAAGCAAAGAATACAGTTACTTTAATATAAAAGTCTGCACTCTACTGCCTTTTGTCTGTCTATCCTGCTGCTTCCATTTCGTGGCAGTTGCTTGAAGAAATACATTCAAATGTCAGATTGTCACACAGAACAAAACCAAGGCATATTTTAGTAGTCCCATGTCTGGTTTCAGCTGCAATAGAGTTAATTTTCTTCACAGAAGTTAATATGAGACTATGTTTTGGAATGAAAAAAAAATGTTGATAGTGTGCTGATGTTTTGAGTTGTTGCTAAGCAGTCAAGGACTGTCCGGCTTCTCGTGCTGGGCTGCCAGCGAGCAGGCTTGGGGTGCACGGGAAGCTGGGAGGGGACACAGCCAGGACAGCTGACCCAGGCTGGGCAAAGGGACATTCCATACCATATGATGTCATGCTCAGTATATAAAGCTGGGGGAAGAAGAAGGAAGGGGGACACACGTTCACAGTTATGGTGTTTGTCTTCCCAAGTAACTGTTAGGCATGCTGGAGCCCGGCTTCCCTGGAGATGGCTGAACCCCTGCCTGCCCATGGGGAGTGGTGAATGAATTCCTTGTTTTGCTTTGCTTGCATGCGTGGCTTTTGCTTTACTTATTAAACTGTCTTCATCTCAACCCACAAGTTTTCCCACTTTTACTCTTCTGATTCTCTCCCCCATCTCACCATGGGGGAGTGGGCAAGCGGCTGCGTGGTGCTTCGTTGCTGGCTGGGATTAAACTACGACATCCCATTTTGTAGGTGTGATTTATATGGCTACACTATTATTACTTGAGCTTGTTTGTACTTCGCAAGTACATGAAAAAGGATGCATTGCATCGAGGAGTAAAATGTTAGTGCTTATGCCTAGTTGGATGTGTTCCAGTAGAATTTACTCAACCAACTCCTAGAAGATACATCCTTTTACAACTTGGTTCAACTTTGTATTGCCTTAGTTGGGAGTATGTTCATTGAAACCTTACTGGGGATTAGGCGTATGGAACACCTCAATTTTTCTCTCCCAGGCTGTATAAATGCTTTACTTTGAAGACCCCTGGACTTAAGATATGGCTGAGGGAAGTGGAATGGGATAGGCAGTGGGTCAAATGGCAGATTTCAATATCTCAAGGTAGCTCCAGACTTGACCCAAACTCATGTTACAGAGTGAGTCTTCATGTGTTGGCAGTCTTGTGAGAAGACGTGGCGCAGCTTGTTCATGTGAAGAATTCTGTCAGCTTCAAGCACTTTCTGCTGTATGCCCATAGCCTGGCAGCACTGAGGGTGAAAATGCAGAAGAGAAGGACATCAGGTGAAATGCAATAAGACAAGAGCTACTGGCCTGGGAACAGGTTAATTCCTTTTTGCAAGCTACAAACACATACACTGAAGAATTCTTTAGAGAAGAACTGCGTAAGAAAAAACCCTGAAACAGAAATATTCGGAGAACCCATGACAAGCAGAGATGTCACTCGGTGGCCTTGCACTCTTTGTGCTGGTCACAAGGTCCTTACCAGATTCCAGATGTTCAAAACTCCACCTTTAAGCTATTGTGTATCACTGCATTTCATGGCAGAAGTGTTGTAATGCTTTGCCTTGGAAGTGGGTGTTTTGCTTTCACAAGTAAAGGTTGGGGTTGGGGTTGTTTGTTTTAAATTGTGAAGGAATAGAAAAATTGTGTGTGAAAGGTATTCCATGTGCCTTGCTTCAGCAGTGACATATGACACCCTGCAGAGACTTTGATTTTACCACCCTATTATTTTCTTTATGGTATTGATGTATTTATAGTAAAGATTAGATTGCATGTTGCTTCTTCCTGGGGTTTCTAAAACTGAAATCATAGGTGTATGTAATGCAGGATTTAATTTTTATTTAGTTCCATGTCTTTTCATCTTTACTTTTGCTTACCCAGAGTTGCTGGATTGACTATTCAGATAGTATTCTTCCTGTTCTGATTTCAAGTACTTGGTCGTTGCAGTCTTTTTATTAAAAAACAAAACAAAAAACCCCCCAAAAAATGAAAAAAGAAACAACCTTGAAGACTTGACTCACTAATCTCTCTTTTTCATTCCCAGAAGTACACTGCTATTGGACTACTGGGCAAAGCTACTGATACACTAGACGCTACGGGAAAAGTAACTGAAGAAAAACCTTATGGTAAGCATAAATATGTCTATATGCTTGATGTAATTTGAAGGCATGAATGGTCTCTATCATTGAAAAGCAGAAGAGATGTTTGGGACTCTCTGAATTAAGTTTAAATGTGAAATCAAACTAAGATTATTTCATCTTCAACTTCAATGCTCATATAATTCAGACCAGCTTCATGTAATTATGTCTAGTGCAAGTGTTCATTTCTGTTGGGGAAAAAAAACAAACCAGGCATTAGATTAGGAGGGAGAAAATAGAATGGGGCAGGACTGTATCATTTTGAATCTTTGACAGGCTGACAAATGATGTGCTATGTCCAGTAAAGTTTTCCTTTTTCAGTGTGTAGTCCCTTGAGTGCTCTGTTACTAACACCCTTCAAGGCCAGTGGAGGAATAAAGTACTTAGCTCTTCCCTCTAGGACGGCCATTTAACTACAGACTGCTCAACATAAAATGAGGGTGGCATAAACTGCTTTCTACATGTGTTCACCTACCAAATCTTGCTCTTGCTTGCAGTCTGCGTCATAGCAACTTTAATGAATTAACTTTACTGACCCGCAGAGCACAGTGCAAGAGTTAAGGCTTCAGAACTAATTCTGACTGTGGCTTTGTTGGAGTGGACATTCCACAATACCCATGGTGTCTTAGAAACAGCACAGGACTAACCAGGGAAACACCAAATGTATTTACCATTAGTTCTTTCACAACCTAGGGTAAAAAGTAAAACCAAAAACCCAATAGGTAACTGGTTGCTTAGCAACTTTTACAAGTGCCACACTGTTTCTGGTGCCTGGTAATAGGAACATACAAAGATTATCTTTTTTTTTTTTTAAGTAGTGTGATGAAAAAGGTGGCCTGGTTTCTACCCCAGTCTCCTTTCTTTTGCAGTGTTTCTTTTTGCATGAGGCCTGCAAGTGTGAGTTTCTTATCCACATTAACTTGATGGATCATCTCAATAGTATTATTAACTAAGTAATGTTACTCAGAGATGTTGGCTCATTAGGTTCTGCTTCAGGATCAAGTTCTAAGTCTCTCTCTAAGCTTCTGAAGGACTGAGTATCCACATGGTATTAAGAGTTGCCAACGTTTCACGATAGTTGGAGAACACTTTCTTGGTTTTTATGTATACCTCCCAGAAAGTGAAATTCTGTGGTTCTGCTGCGCTGAGTAGTATTCATTGTAGATACTTGCTCACATATAAACTATGAAATATCATTTCAAGATGCAGCTTCTGTGGTCAACTAATAAAAAAAAAAATCTGTTTCTTGAAACACTAGTCTTGCTTTCTTTTTATTGTTTACTGCAGATGGAATTTAGAGTGTTGTTTTTTTGTGTGTGTTTCTTTCACTGGTAGCTCTTGTTAGTAGTTCCCACCTCTGCACCACCTCCTCTGTTGCGATGGTTTAGCTTTCTGTTGGACTGTGTGCTTGGGGAACCGATTTGGGTTAAAATACCCCCTGTTTCTGAGTCGCTTATCTCTTTGAACTGAGATCAGTTCATCATGCAGCTCATCATGTGGTCTCATGAAAAGCATTATTGACATTGCTGGGGAAGTGCAGTTTTGGGTGCTGGACAAAGTTTCCTTTTGCTCAAGCTGATGGCTGAAAGAAATGCACATGAGATTGGTCTCAGTTGCTTTCCATGTTGGTCCAAATCAGTCAGATTTTAATTTTTCAGACAGAAGAGAGAACATGCATACTCCTTCTTTTTCTCCATGCTACTTAATATATTTTTTATTTCCTTGCTTCCTTCCCTCCTGATAAATCAGGTATTTCTCATCTTTTCCAGTGTCGGAAAATCATGCAGTTCGGTTTTCTGCATGATTCTCTGGGTGGCCCACCATCCCTATTCCCAATCAGTACTCCAAGAACAGACAAACCAGATGCTTGAGCTTAATTTCAGCTTTCCTTTGACACCTAGAAGGATCTTGGGAGAAGCAAAGCATCTGCTAGAATATATAAATCCTGCATGTGCCAGCAGCATCCAGGATTGAGCCTTAGTACAAAGAAAGGGCACTAAAACAACTTGCAAGATACATAAAACTCTTGTGGTCCAGTGGAATCATTCAAGAGGAACATGCCAGCAGAAGGTTTCCTGCTATATTAATTACATGAAAGTGTTAACGTTTTACTCCTCAAAATGTTCCTAGACAGCAGTTTAGAAAGCAAACTGTTTTGTATTACCGTTAGCTGCAATGAAGGGACATACTGAATAGAGCTCCTTGGGTTTAACCCCTCCTGAACTTCTCATAGTTTTTTGTTTGTTTCTTATCAGACAATGAATTTGCATTTCCACTTTGAAATTAGGTTACGGTTTCATACTACACCCAGGATATCACATTTCGTGTTCCTCTGGTGCTTAAGAACATTGTTTGTTGCCCCTTTTTTAATGTTTGTAACTATGGACAGGAATGTGCATTCTGAAACCCAGCTGCCTACAGACTGTATCCAGACATGGAGAACAAAATTCACGAGGATTTTCTGCAGGTCTCTGATGATTATGCTGAAATACGTGTTTAATAGCACTACCTGAATAATTTAGGAAATGTAGTCCTTTCAGCATTCTGCATTATTAGCAAATAATTTGTGCTAGGCCAGATTGGGTTGAGGTCATCAGCTATAGTCCTGTTTGACTGTCATAGATAATTCTTGTGTTCTGTTTTGGTGTAGTTTGTTAACAAGAGCAGGGCAGTATCACCCTTCAGGCTTCTTGAGGTTGTGGCACAATTGGCACCTTTTGGTTTGGTAGCTTTATTTAATTTCCTTTATGATTATAGCAGGAAAATTAATCAATGGTCACCAGTGTTCAGAAGCACAATTGTTCTTTAAAATTTTCATGTTGGAAGCTAATAGGCTTATAGTACATGTTTTCAGAAGCATTGGAGGCCAGAAGTTTTGGGTGCTTTGGGGTGGTTATAGAATCGTAGGGAATGGTCCACTGGAAGATGCATAGCCTGTGCAGAAATCCCATAACCACACTGTCAGTCTAAAGGCTTAGGAAGAAATTTAGAAATAAGTGTTGAATGTATTCCAAACAGTGTACTCACAGAGCAGCTACAATCATTTTGTTCTAACCTAAGGCTGTCGTTATTCCTGGGGACTGGATGCAGTTATCCCGTGGGCCAAGCCTTAACAATCACAGAATTGTTAAGGTTGGAAAGACCTTTAAGATCATCAAGTCCAACCATCAATACTCACTGAATTCATTGTCAAACAGGGTGGCAGCCTCCACATGCCTTCCTGGAAGGATGCAGAGCTGCAGTTTAAGTCCAGCTTCTAGCACAAACTCATGGTCTGTCATATAGCACATGAGGATACTTGGTATTTGTGATGAGGATAGTGGGAGGAATAGCCTAACTAGCAAGGGCAGTGACAGACATGTCCTGCAGAAATGTCTCTCAAAACCCCTTACCCTCAGGGAGTAGAGAAGGGAAGTCAAATAGGGAAAGTTTTGGGACTGTTGATGCTAATTAGCCTTTATGGGTATGTTCATATTTCATGCTTGATGGAGGATTGAGTCCAAATGGTGCTCTAAATGTGCTGACCAGACAAGCTGTTAACCTACTAAACCCAAGCCCACTGGTGGGCCGAAGGGAAGGGAAGCAGTTCTCCTGGGCATCAGGACTGCATTCCCCGCCATCTATGCTGTGGATGTAATGACTGTGGGAGCTGAAAGGTGGTGAAGGAGCTGATTCACAGTGCGGCTGTGTGCCCCGCAGAGCCACGAGTCCAAATGGATGCCTGGGACAAATACACAGTTTAGGCATAGTGAAGCTGTTTGCGATGAGACTAATAGCGCATTTTTTATGGCTGAGAGCTGGATGAAAGCTCCACCAGCTTGTGTGCTGCTCTAGGAGAGGGCAAGAATCCAATACAGTCCATTAACTCAAAGGCAGTGCATGATGAAAAAAAAAAAAAGCACATGATTTTAGGTTTTCAGAATGTAATACTAGCCAGCTTGTGCCATGATGTATCACAGAAGACAAATATGATTTATTCTAGATCTTAGCAAACTCATCTGTAAATATTTACTTTGATAACACATCACACAACTTTCTTTGTTAATGGCTTCATACATCATTCCTCACATGGGGATTTTTTTTTTTCTGAGATAGAGATTGCCTGTAGCATGAGTGATTTCCAGAGAGGCTAGATGTAACCTCTCAATCAGGGGAGTATGAAATCAGAGCAGGGATTGAACTCGGGTGTCTCATTAAATGCCCTAGCCACAAATGCAGTTCATGGCTGAAAACTGAAAGAGCACCCCAAGCTGACGCTTATCCTTAGATCTTAAATACTAAATTCTAGCCTGAAACAACTTGGGGTTCACAAAGAAGGCTGACAAAATCACCAATATAGAGCTGGGTCATGTTAATGTTCTGCCATGTAGTTTTCTTGTGATATGTTGCTAAACTAGAATAATACAAACAGAAGACTGTAGTAACTATGTAAGAAGCTCTTCAGAAGAAGATCCAGGCTTACTGTACAACTGATTTTGTTGTTCCTACCCTGTATTCTGATGTACATTGGTCTCTCTCAGCATCCCTGACTGACTTTTGTGCCTTGCAACCTTGCTGTTAATGACACTTCTTGAGACAGCTTCTGAGGCCTAGGGACAGCATCTGCGTTTGAGGCTGCAGAGTGTGCTTTGCAGAAGTGAGGTACCACATTGCCATCTTCCAAAGCTGCTGTGGAAAGAAACCTCCTCTTTCTACTTACAGCATGAAGTACATCTATTTTGTAAGGTTGGCAGGTAAAGGTCTGTTCTAAAACATAATGACTGCTCAATAAATAAATTCGGTTGGTTTATGTTCTAGGATGCTGTTGACTTAGTAAGGTGACACTAATTGAATATAACTTAGGAGAAACAGGACTAGTCAAGTCCTAGACAGTAGAAATACACTGAAGTGCATTCATACAGATCTCATGTTTCTACTCTCTAAACAAATTAGGGATGGGTGTCATCTCTATTGAATAGTATTTCAATGAACCAGTGCAATCAGCCTCTGGGGTTATAGCCTTCTAGTAGAAGTGGGACAGATGTGTATGTGTACTCTTAAAAGTAGATTGCCTAAAGCAGCTAACTTTCTTTTACAGGATTTCTTCAGTAAAATTGCCTTACTTAATATATAACAATACCCTGGTGTGCATTTGCAAGTTAGTTGCTGATACGGAAATTTGATGTTTTGTTCCAGATGCAGTCTTTTTCTTCACTAGAAAAAAAAAAAAACCCACAATGCTTTTGTTTTTTAATAATCTCTTGTATTTTTCCCTGCAGTTAGGTACTCTTAGAGAGAAGTTGCCATGGTTAGATGAGCGTTTTCTTCTTTTTGGTCTTTTAGCAAAAATCAGAATAGGACAAATTTTGTGGTTTTTGCATAGTTCCCAAGAAAAATGAATTTGCAGTCCCAAGAGAGAGAAATTGCAAAAGAAAACTGTGTGCATTGGGATTTATGCCCTTCTGAAAGTGTCCAGACTGTCTTAATCACCTTGGACAGTTTGTTCCACTCTTTTTGTGATAATTCACACTCCTACCTACATTCTGGTTTTTATCTCTTTTCTTTGGTGTTTTTCACTCAATCTAAATTCAGATGAGACAGAACTCTTCTTTGTATCTGTTTGCAGGATGTGATTGATGCATTATTGCCATGTGAATAATCAGTGCTAACATACTTACTGTTTTCTTTCTACAGACCAGGTAACAAAAGGAGATCTTGAAAATGTGCTGCAAAAGTTCACAGGGGACATAATGCAAGTTCCTCCACTGTAAGTTACACAATATTCAGACACTCTTGGCAGTTGTGTTCAGTTGTTGGGACTTGCTGATAGAAGTCAGTTCTCTCAGAAATAAAAAGACACATTTTGGCAAGAGGAGAGAGGCAAGGCAGTCTTAGGAGTTTTAACATTTGCGACTGCAGGTCACGCCCGTTTGAACATTGAGCACAAATGGTGACCTGGAGTCTGTGGGGTTTTTGGGTAAGTGTAAAACAGCGAAGCAGTCTTAAACAGCTTTGCAGGGCATGGTGGCTTCTATCCTGCCTTCCAATTAGAAAGCATTAAGTCTTTAATTTTACTTATGGGGCAAGGGGAGGCTTACTGACGTCTGTGTGGAAGTGCCTTAAATGACTTCAAATTAGTTTTCTGAAAACTTTGAGTGAGCTATCAGTGACTGAGCTTCCGTAGCTTAGCAAATTTCTTCTAGTCAGATGAGCCGTAGTAGCTGGCAACGTGCACGCACTTAGCTTGTGACAGATGGCTTTTATGGTGATTTAAGCTAACATGCTTTCCTTTGCGTTTGCAATGGGTCAGTTACTGTGGTTCCAATGTGAGCCCTGTATGGTCAGTAATTTGGTAGGTGTTCTGCTTCATGTGACCTGTTTCAAATTACCCTCTGCTTATTTGAGCAAGATCTTCTTTGATTTTTTCCATGGTATTCTTTCTGTCAAGACCAAAGTTGGAGCTTTGCATAAAGTTTCATGTAATCAGTGAAATTAATTTTGTTTGTTCTATGGTGGTCTCCTAAACAAGGCTACGTAAGTTGGCAGTTGCTGTCCAGGGAAGACCCTGGTATGAGACAAGTAAAAGTGCAAGGCAGAACTACAGGACTTGCCTGAGCAGCTCCCAGTGCTTAGTTCAGCATAACACTGAAACAAATGCCTTGCAGACTTCTGAGAGACAGTATGTTAAGAGGCAGCTGCAAGTGTTGTACCCCTTATAGAAACCCTTTTTTTCATAAACTACAAACTGAGTAATGAAAAACTTTTAAATCTGTACAGCAAGAGGTAAATACAGGGCCATCTCTTGTTTTCCAGTTTATATAGCTACTGACAAATGAGATGATTCTGTGTCCAAGAGTCTTCAGAAGCACTTGCTAGATAGGGTTTGTTTTGTTTTTTTGTAAGCACTTGCAGAGGATTAGAAGGGTAAAATGTATGTTACTGTAGTACGGTATTAACAGGATCTGAAGAATGGCAAGCTTGTTCTATTACAACTGTATGACACACATTTTCATGCTTTGTCTGATCAGCTATTCTGCTTTGAAGAAGGATGGAGAAAGGCTATCAACTCTGATGAAGAGAGGAGAAGCAGTCGAAGCAAAGCCTGCTCGGCCAGTAAGAGTGTACAGCCTCTCTCTCCAACAGTTCCAGCCACCACTGTTCACACTGGGTAAAGGCCAAAGATTATTTCATGGAGGGATGCTCCCAGCTTGTTAGTGTTTGTTTACACTCAGAATGGGACTGAGATAGTGAAATGGGTTTCATATCCCTCAGCTACTTATTTTGGTGTGAGCCCATGTGCAGAGACTTTCACTTTGCAGTAAAAGCACTATATTTTGGTTTTAAGTTAAGCTGATTATATGTAATCTTTCTGTGAGGGAAAATTCTGAGAGGCTGGTCAGGGGATTATTTGCATCTGTCTGTGATTTTGCAACCTCCAGCTCACTCCTCCTTTCTCAGGTCTGCTTACTACACTTTGCCCATTCTTTTACCCAGATGCCCAGACCTGCTGGCATCTCTTCAGGGCACAGCAAGGACCAGTATCAGTTACTGTCAGGCCTCTTTCTCAGTTGAGGAGGCAGGATCTTAGCCTTCCTTCTGTCATACGTGAAGAAACTTGGGTAGTCCATTAAGCAGCACATTAATAAATAAACCAAAAAGACTCTTGTAAATGTTTAATGCTACTGTAAGGTTAAGATTATGTTGTGCATTGATCAGCTACCTAGCTGACCCGTAGTCCTCTGGACCAGATGGTGAGCAGGTATGAGTGACAGAACTCAGTGCTGTGTTACTTCAGCTCTTAGGTTGTGGTTGGGTGTCTAGCAGCTGATCACTGGCAGAGGGGGAAGGCAAGGGCTGAGAAAGCAGGGAAAGTTAAAGGTGAATTTTAAAATATTACTGGAGCTGCCTATGTGCAGTATCTTAAAAGCATTGATAGTTTAGATTATGCTTGAAATAGCTTTTTTTCATCATTAGAAATATGAAACAACCTTCTGAAACCTTTAAAATGAATACGATTGAAGCATTTGTTAACATACCACAGCATGTACTTAATTTCTAGTGAGTTAGTTCAATTGCCATTGTATTTACTTTCCCTCCTGTCTAGTTTAGCAATCTCACCCGCACATATGTTACAGGATGAATAATTGATGTTGCATCCTATAAATATTTTATCACTGGGTGGTTTGCTTAGTGCATTTTTACATTTATGTGGGGGCATGGTTTCCGTGTAACAGTAGGTTTCACATTGCCCTGTCAATTTACCATGTTACTATTAACATTCCAGATGTTGAATGTGGTGGTGGCTTCTATGTCAGGAGCCTGGTCAGTGACATTGGCAAAGGTAGGCATGAAAAAACCCATGACAGTTTAAGGAATGAATGTGTCTGTTTATGGAAAAAAAAAAATGTCATTTTGTGTATCTCCAGTAACTAGACCTATGTGTTACTTTGCAGAACTGTAGTGCTATCACTTGTTTTTATATGCTAAAATGTTTTCCTTGGGAGCATGGGGAAATTGAAGGCTAAATAATTGCCAGAGGACCTTGGGGGCTGAGGGGTAAAAATGGAGGAAGTAATAGCACTGAGCAAGGTAATGCAAAGCAAGGTGGAGATTTCTTTTTTCCTCCTCCATATGTTAAAGCTAACTCGGATTAAGGATGAGAAGAAGGAGGATCCTGTCTTTTTAAACATTATTCATCACATTTTGAAAACAGATTGCACAGAACATTACCATGCACATAATAAACCCTGTCTGCTGGAAGGACTTCTACATTTGTGATGAGTTTTCTAGTGTTTTCTTTTTCCTTTACCTGAACTGTGAATGGTTTTGCTTTCCCACAGGGTTATCTGTCTTGTGTTCTGCATCTATCAAACTGCATGATGGAGAACAGATAATCCATTTCAAATTTTTTTTTAAATAATACATTTGCAGATCAAGAAAGCAAGTGATATGGGATAACCCTGTGAATTTCAATGTTGTTATTTGTGCTTAGGCAAGTCAAAGATTCTCTTTCTGTTACTGCCTTCTGAGCATCCTGGCTTATGTTTAGTCCTTCAGTGACAAACCAAGATAAAGTCTGTCCTCAGCTGGTTTCTTTTCAAAAATTTAAAATACAGTAAAAATCTTCCTGCATTAGAAAGGATGGGAGAGAATATTGTAGTATACCTATGCACTTACAAGTCAGCTCCGGTTGCTGTTATGTTTTGTAGCCCCTCATTATGTAATTCTGTCCTATTAGTATTTATTTAGCATAGCAAAACATTTGTTCATATTTTTTATTTTTCCTTATCTTAGTTTGTTACCCTGAAGGCAGCAAAAGATAAAAATGTAATAAGTCCTTCTTGAAGGCAAGAAGTGCTAAGACCTGAAAGTCTGTGGAAAAATAGTACTTGGTCTTCTAAGTCACTTGTGACTACGGAATGTTCTGCTTACATCTTATGTCATTATTTCCTCTCTTTTCATTCTGACTTAAATGTGGAAAACGTTTTGACAACTTTCTGTCAGATTCTGAACTCTTTACTACACTGGAAATCAAAGGAATTCCTTGGCTCAAATTTAAGAAGATGTAAATGAGTGATAAATCTCGATGAACTTCCCTCTCAAACAAAGCAGAATAATGTAGAAGGCTATATATAAAAATACGTTTTAAGTGAGTTGTAAATAGTTAAACTTGACCATGCACTTTTTCTAAATCCTCTTTTCTGCTTTGCTGTAGAACTCTCTACCTGTGCCACTATGCAAGAGCTGACCCGAACCAAACACGGGCCATTTACGCTAGAGGAGCATGCCCTTTATGAAGACAAATGGACAATTGATGAAATTGCACGATCCTTAGAGCATTGCACGTCTCTTCTCCCAGGAGAGCCATCTCATAAAAAATTGAAGACAGAGCATCATGGTGAAACTGCTATGAGCTGTGAAGATAAGTGATAAGTTGGGTCAAGGAAAAAGACTGAATGATTGAGACATTTTAAGATTGGATTGGAATTGTCTTGCCTCCTGTGTAAATCTACAAGTCTGTACTGTGAGGGTGAAAAACAACAGTGCAAGAAAAATGGTTCTTTTGTTTTCTGGGGTTGCAGAACATGCACTGAAAATATCCAGTGCTTGCTGTTTCTTGATCTGTTTATTTCTCCTTGTACACTGTAAATGCGTCTGCCACTATGTAAAATGTTCTTAAACTTTTAAAGAATTTGTAGGGTACAATATAGCTGTTGTTGCTATTTCTTCAATAAAAAGATTATAAACATTAAGATTTGATAAATGTGGTAAAAAAAAAAAAATCTTTTTTCTTTATAGCTGGTAATCAAACCCTGAAATACCATGGTGACAAGACTGTCATAGTTTGAAGAATACAAGAATCTGATTTGGCAGTTCGCTTTCTTGAAATCTGTTTCAGGATATGTCCATTTTACTGTAGTTTTTCCTATGCAGATAGTTCCTTCAGTCAAATGTTATCCAGAATGCATTAAATGTAGATGCTAATATTTTATGTTAAGTCTGAAGTATCATTGTAAGTAAATAGTTTCAAGTATAAATAATCCCCAACAATAACTTTTATAAAAAGTGTTGTGAAGAGTGCAGTCATCATTACAGGTGTATGTCTTATTTTGGTACAACGTCCCAATTGGTGACCATCCATGATCTAAAATACAGTTAACTGTTACACCCTTCATAGGGCTTAGTGAATTTACTTTTGCTGCCTGTGATTTGCTTGAGCTGTCTCCTGTGGGTTGGGTAGAAGGCTGTACTTCTGGGCTTGGACTGATTTGATCCTGACTAGTTGTATGGGCAACAGAAGGACCCACCATCAAGGATCCTTGCTGAAACCATTTGAATTCACTGGGGCAGTGAGGGCCTGTTCCACGGTTGATGTAGTCAACAGAATTTGATTGCACTGATTATTTGTCACCACTGCTTCCCTTGGGATTTTCAAAATGGCTAAAAAACAGTGGTTTAAGAATGCTAAAAAAGCACCCTAGTTTGTTTCCATGGGTGTAATGGATTATCCTAGAAGAACTTCCCTATGTATTATCACCATACAAGTTGGTAGCAGGTGTGTTTTCCTTTTGTCATAATGAGGAACATGAGTAGTTTAAGCATGGGAGCGGTATCTGAGAGAAAGCCCTGCTTTTGAAATTGTCACTGAAATGTCACCAGAGAGGAATGGACTGGCTGCCGTTACAGCTTTGTGCCTGCTGTCAGCCAAGTGGCCTGCTGTGGCTTTGTGCAACTCCTACACCTTTGGGTTTTGGTTCTGGAGTACAGGGACTTGACTCTTTTACTCTGAGTGTCTGAATGCTGTAAAGGCAAGAGTTTGTGCTTATATTAGGGTGTATCTTTGAGAGAGAGACATGAAAATTTGATGTAATGACGCTGTGTTAATGGACTTGCTACTTTCTATGGTAAATTATCTTGATAGCAAATTACCTCTATTGCTTAAAAGAAGTTGTGTTTTATTCCCAATTTGACTTGAATCCCCACACACTGCAATTTATGGCTGTGTCTGCACCTTACGAAAAAGGTATTGTGTGAAATGATCAAGTTCTAATCTTACTTTAAATCGAAGAAAGGAAATAAATATACTGAAGATCCTCATTGCAGGATACCTTTCCAGACATCTATAGGTTGTTTTTTTTGTTTTCTATACAATAAGAAACTGAAGTCTATGTAAGATTAATGAAGCTTTTGTTTAGAGGGAGGATAGAGTTTATGTTTTGTTGTTCAGTAAACAGTTTTCTTCTTTTGTATATTCTTATAAAGAATTTAAGGGGAACGGTGAAAATATCACAAGCAACTTGAAATGTTAGAGCACTGTAGCAGCAGCATATTTAATGTACAATGTGGATATAGTAACCATTGTGAGAAATTTTGAGATAGGAGAAAAGAGTTGTATTCAGTAAGAGAACAGTGAGAAATGTTAGTTGTTTCTTTTCGGGTGGGTTTTTTGGTACTTTGGATAGAAACAGAGAAGAAAGAGATTATTTCCTAAAGAAATCAAATAAAGCAGAAAATTTCATTTTCCAGTATAGTTATCGTGAATGATCAAAGACTTTGATTGAAACATAGCTTCTTTTCTTGTATAAATCTGTATTTTTCCAAGAACCTAATTTAGGTTATCCCAGTGGTCTTCTAGATTAAATTCTCATTTATCTTTCTGCTTTTTTAAAAATAGTCCAGTAGATATAATTCTATTAGTCTACTTGTTTCATCTACAGGGATTTGTTTCTTTAAAAATTAGTGCAATTGAGAAACCGTTCTATTAATATAGTGCATTTGTATACAGTGTTACAAATGTCTAGCACATTCTTTATCTCATCTGTTTGTTTAATGCTTACCATGGCTTTATTGCTATTCCATGTGGGACTTCCTGATATTTTTAATTGCAAAAGGAGAATTATATTTTCATCAGCTTTTAGGTTAGCTAACAGATCTGTGATCCTGAGAAGACAGGATCTGTTCCATAGTCACTTGTTCCACATTTCACTTGAGAGAAATGAAATGGCAATCAGAAGAAAACATCCTGTTGACATCAGCAAGTTCTGGTTTAGGCTGCAAGGCCTAATGCATATCGAAAGCATAGGGAGAGAAGGAATGCAGTTGTACACATTCAGAAATCTGTGTAGGGTGTGTAGATAGTGTTTCTAAAGACTGGCGGTATCTCAATTTATGAGTGCAACTTCCCTCAATGCTTTTATTCTTCTGCAGTAAGTAGAGGCACTTTCACCAGCACTAGCTAGACTTTTTTTTTTTCCTAGGATTCCTCTCATCTTCCCAAATGCTAGGTTCTGTCACCTTCAGAAATAAAGGCAGAACTTTCTTAACTCAAATTAATGATGAACTTCTCCCCACATACCATCTGTGGTTCAATACAAGTTGGGTAGCAAGTACGTTTGGTTGGAGTTGCTATCTGTGGCCAGATAGTACACAGATTATGTGTATATGATTACAGAATAAGATTATGGTTACAGAATCATAGAATGGCAGAGAGCAGATAGGTGTTCTTAGACACAGTGTAAAGAGTGTGTAAAGTAATGAACAAATTATGCAGTAACAGCTTGTTTTATGACCACTGATGAGTCAGTCCCATTCCAGCCCTGAACAGTTGAGTTAATCTTTTCAAACATTCAGACTCCTCTGGCTACTTTCCAGTGTCTTTCCTAGGTGCTCGGCCTCACGTCCATGCTCTTTGCTAGGTACCCCTGTGTTTTAATGGGTCTCAGCCCCTTGAGCCATTAGTCCCAATGAGTAGTAACGAGGAAGCCACTGAAAAATCTAGGAATAGTTTTTTTAGATATGTTTTAATAAGTATTTAGCCCAGTATCTTGAAACTATCCAGATCTGGAAGTAAGTGTTGTGTTCCCATGGGAACCTAGGGAAATACTCATTTTAACTTCTTTATTCTTATTAACATGCATGTTCCTGAGATTCCACACTTCAGAATTGTGATACATGCACAGAAAAACAGTGTTTTTTCTGGAACAAAATATGCTGTGATCCCGGATCTTGATTACTGACAGTTGTGGTATCTCAACATTAAAGGCTATTTAGAGTGAGAAGGAAGGTGTGTATACTTTATTTCTGAGACTAGTGGAAGAGTTCGTACCTAGTGCCCAGCTGAGACAAACATTAGTTGATAGGAATTTTATGCTACTCTGGCCAGGAAATATGCCTGTGTCTGTGATTTACCATTTAAAATATATCCGTGACACAGACTGAAAGATTTGTCTCATTTTAATGAGTGTTGTTCACGGAGAAAGTCCTGGTAGAAAAGCGTGTCCTGCTTCTTGAGCTGCGTATTGTCTCTCTGGACTCTGGATTTGCGATCTTTAGCCCGCAGAGGTGTGCCGCCGTGGTCTGGCCCTGACTCTGCCTCCGGTGCTGGTGCTGCTGCAATGGGATTGACAAGGGCTTCATAACTTGTCTCCTCCTAATCTCTCTGCCTGGCTGGCTCACTCTCTTCCTCATTTAAATGGTAGTTTTTCTGTGTACTTCATATTATATTTCTGCTGCCAGCGTGTTGAGCAGTCTTTTAATGTTTTTTTAAGCAAAATCAATAGGTGGTTTTTTTTTTTTAATACTAATTGAGTCTGAGCCATCAGTGAAATATTCCAGGAGTGCCTTCATCAATAACTAAGCATTTAGCATCTTACCCTGCAGTTTTGTTTTTGATTTATATGTTTATTAGAAGAAAATATAGTCAAACTGAATAACTCCCTAAATTTTGGGATACCTCAAGATTTTATTTTTTAGTGTAATAGATGGTGAAGTTGCTATTCTGGGCATGAATGGCTCTGAGACCGTAAAGGCTAGGGTTACTCTGTTTGCTTGGCAGAGTCAAGGAATCAGTTGGCAACAGCATTAATTTTATTAAGAAGGCCTTAGAGAGACGAAGCAAGAATGCACCTGTGTGGACGTGAGAGCGTGGCTACAACTTGTAACCAGAGGGAAGTCACAGAGACAGCGAATGCATTCAGCCAGCCTGGGAAAAATTACTGTCCCTATAAAAAGCAGTCTTGTTTCTAATAACCAGGGGTTTAATTTGCTGCTTTGCGAGACCTGGTTAAGTAAATCACCAATACTTAAGAGCCTGTCAGACAAGCAGGTTTATCATCTGGGATGATCATCAAGTCCAACCATTAATCCAGCGCCACCATGTTCCCTAAACCACGTCTTGAAGCGCCACATCCACACGTTTTTTGAACACTTCCAGAGATGGCAGCTCCACCACCTCCCTGGGCAGCCTGTTCCAATGCCTGACCACCCTCTCGGTGAAGAAATTTTTCCTAATACCCAATCTAAACCTCTCCTGGCGCAACTTGAGGCCATTTCCTCTCGTCCTATCGCTGGTTACTTGGGAGAAGAGATCAACACCCTCGTCGCCACAACCCCCTTTCAGGTAGTTGTAGAGAGTGATAAGGTCTCCCCTCAGCCTCCTCTTCTCCACACTGAACAACCCCACTTCCCTCAGCTGCTCCTCATAAGACTTGTGCTCCAGACCCCTCACCAGCTTCGTTGCCCTTCTCTGGACACGCTCCAGCACCTCAGCATCCTTCTTGTAGTGAGGGGCCCAAAACTGAACACAGGATTCAAGGTGCGGCCTCACCAGTGCTGAGTACAGGGGCACGATCACTTCCCTGCTCCTGCTGGCCACACTATTGCTGATACAGGCCAGGACGCTGTTGGCCTTCTTGGCCACCTGGGCACACTGCTGGCTCATGTTCAGCCGGCTGTCAACCAGCACCCCC